AGGGCGGTTTTAGGGTGATTTTTTGGCGGTTTTGAGGGGGTTTTGGGGTCCCGGAGGGTTTTGGAGTATTTTCGGGGCAGTTTTGGGGTCCCGCGTGGGGTTTCGGGATGGTTTTGGGGTGGTTTTGAGGCGGTTTCGGGATCCCGGGAGGGGTTTTGGGGCCCCGGTGGGTTTCGGGATGGTTTTGGGGTCTCGGTGAGGGTTTTGGGGTCCCGGAGGGTTTCGGGATGATTTTGGGGTATTTTCGGGGCAGTTTTGGGGTCTCGGTGAGGGTTTTGGGGTCCCGGGGAGGGTCGGGCGGGGGTCTCACCGTTCAGGCAGTACTGGGGGTCGCAGCGATCCGCCCGACGCTCGCAGTTGGAGCCGCGGAACCCCGGCGGGCAGCGGCAGCTGTAACCGGGGGAACCGGGGGAACCGGGGGGCGAACCGGGGGTCCCGGGGGTCCCGGGGGGAGGGTCCGGGGCGCAGGCGCCGCCGTTAAAGCAGGGCCCGAGGGCGCAGGGGGAGGGGGGCACCTCCGGGAGGGGGTACGGGACCCCCGGGATTGGGTTTGACACCCCCGGGAGTGGGGCCGGGACCCCTGGGATGGGGTAAGGGATTGCCGGGAGAGGGGCCGGTGTCTCCGGGAGGGGATCCGAGACTACCGGGAGCCCCGGCACCGGGTCCGGGATGCTCGAGAGCAGGGCTGGGACTCCCGGGCGTCCCGGGAGATGGTCTGAGACCCCCGGTAGAGCGTCCGGGATCCCCGAAAGGTGATCTGAGACACCCGGGAGGGGATCTGGGACCTCCGGGAACCCCGGAACCGGATCCGGGACCCCCGGGGAAGCATTGGGGACCTCAGGTTCCCCCAGAAGATGATATGAGACTCCCGGGAGCGGCTCCGGGACCCCCGGGAGGGGATCGGGAACTCCCGGGACCCCCGAAAGATGATCTGAAACCCTCGGGAGAGGCGCCGGGACCCCCGGGATTGGGTCTGAGACCCCCGGGAAGGGGTCCGGGACCCCCGGGAGGGGATCGGGAACTCCTGGGACCCCCGGGAGCGCATTCGGGACCGGCACGCGCCGTCCCGGCGGGAGCGAGAACGGGGACGGAGCTTCGGGGGTCGCCACCGGGGCCACCGACGAAGCGTCCAGGGCCACCCCCGGGGCCACCAGAGCCGCGGCCGGGGCCACCGCCGGTACTTCCAAGGCTGCGGGTGTCGCCGGTGTCGCCGCGGACACGGGGCTGTC